TCCCCAGGGCGTAATTAAATCCGTTTCGTCGTTTCTACTTTCCAAGATTCGCTGCGTCAATAGCACCGACACAATCTGTAAAAAGTACGGTCGAACGTCGAAGAAATTGTGATTCGAAATACGTCGATACGCGACCCCTATTGTACGGCGTTGGGACCGGGATTAAATCCGTACGTAAGTACTTTACGCGTTGTGGAAGTTTGCAGACTGTTTGAGGCAATTAAACCTGCTAAGCAATTCGATTCGAGGAATACGCGTGATCGTCGAGTTTACTTTCGAGTTTCGCAAAGAGAACACGTGTAAATACGACGTTCGAAACAATTAAGGGATCACCGTTTCTGAATGACTTCGCAAATGAAGCAGTATTACGACGCGATACGCGACGAGAGTATTCTGGCGATCGTTTCACATTCGCTACAAATTTTCGAACGGTTCGTGACTCGTTTCTTAAGGGTCGAAAGACCCCCCAGTATCGAACTATCATTTTATAATCTGTCCGAATTAAAGCAGTATGTGACGTGTAACCATATTTTTGAAAGAAGCTTCGGTGATATTGCCTCGTTCTTTAGACGCGCGATACAGTTACAAATTCCTAGCAATAATTATTATTAATGGTGCTCCATTATTAGCGGCTATAATAGGTCCAAAGTTCTTATAACTGCGACTTTTTACTCACTTTACTCGTTTGAGATTATTAATATTTCTTTAAATGTAAAGTGTAAGTCGGCTACGAATTAATAACGCGATATCGATATTAATAGTTAATTATAATTTACGAGGTATGTTTCTGAACGAATTATGAATCTAACATTTTTCGCAAAATTTCAATACTTTCGATATTACTTAAAGCGTGCAAAACGCAAATGTCATCTGTTTGATCATTATGAATAATCCATAATGTATTATTAATAGGGTGGTTCATAGTATGAGCAGAAAAATTATAGATTAAAAGAAGTGTTTTAATGTTCAAAATTATATAACGTCGGGAACGCTTATCAGAACGTGCAAACAAGAGCATCTAGAAATTTATGGAACACCTCGTGACAGGAGCTAATGAGTTAATTTCATGAGTAAAGTTAATCAACCTACTTAGGCTGCAGGTGAGCGAAATACTTTTTCCATCATTGATTATAATTTTTAGTTCAGGTGACACAACGTTTATTATTTATGCAAAATATGTCGCTAACCAGCGTTTTCTGCTAAACAGTAGGTATAGAGAAAAAAGATGAAAGAAGAAACAATGATTTTATAGTCGGCGTAATAGCATATCTATCCCAACATTTTATATGTGTGATATTTTTCATAAAAACAAAAATGACTTAATTTCTTGAAAGAAATATCGTATATATTTTGTGATATATAAACGACATCATAGGGGGAAAAGTAGAACAAAAAAAAAAAACGAGTAAACAGCGTAATAATTTGCTATGAGAAAATGTCAAAGAAACAAGTATCTACGAATCTAAGTTCAGTTCGCAAAAATAACGATTTATCTTTGTATCCATATTCATTTATTAACCACATGTCACCGAGATCATTTTTCTGTAATTTCTTCGTATTATCGAATAAGATGACCTACATCTACATATCGACCCTTACCTCGTGACGAGCGTCTCATCTGAATATAAAAAGCCCTGCAGGTATATGAGTTCATAGTTATAAAAGAGCCAAAGCGAGATCGTAACTTAAATTTATCAAACGTATTCCTTAAAAATACAGATTTTGTCTATACTTGTGTCTACGTTCGTTAAGACCTAGACGTACGTCGATAATGTAATAATTTGTTTTTTAATGATTTAAGAAAAAGTTCCGGGGTGTGGGGTTATTGTTGAAAATGTATTAATCGAGTTTACCAGCTAGAAATTGTAGCGAGCCAGGTTAGGTAAACGTAGATGATCGTAGTCGATTATCTCGACTTTAACGTTGGAATCCATCGAGAGTGAAAATTTGAAATAGAAAAGCGGTACCGCGCGCCGTCACGAAAGCTCGTCGATTTTGTTGTGTTTGCACCGCCAGAAACCATACTCATGGTTTCTAGCAGCGAGTAAAAGAAGGTACGAGCGAGCGTTTAACTTTTCCGTCGGTTAAAGTATTCATCAAGACGTTAAATATTGACGAGCATCGAGTTATGAACTCGAAAGACTTACCTCTCGCATCAAGTATTCTTTGAATAATTAACCTAACTCCGCGATAATGCTTTGTATCAAGAATATATCTAATTGAACTACTTTACTGCCGTGGGAAAGGCGGATACCGAGTTTAATTGAGTTCGATTTTTGTCTTATATTTTATGTAAGGTTCTTGAAACTAAAAGCGATAGAAGATCGTTCGATCAAAGAGTACCTTCATACCTTTTAAATGTGGTATTAATTATGAAAAGTCTTTTTGGAACGTTATTTTACTATTTGATTTAAGATTTGTGATTTACGTGTTCAGTATTAGAATTATACAAGTAGAAAATGGTTTGGTAGTTCTCTAACGGAACAACTATACTTCTATACGGATAATACCCTGCAACCTCTGAAAATCAGCTCAATAGAAATATTCTTAGAAAAACATAAAAATAGCTTTTAATACAGAAATTTCATATCAAATTGCAGAAAAATTCACGAACATTCGTAGTCTTTCGGGAAATAATCTTGTGTTACTTTAGAAAAGGAAGAAGCATTTTCTCTACCAAGCAAATCTAGCGCTAACGAGTATAAAGCTCGTTCGCAACGTTCGCTTCCATCGACGCGTGCCGTCGTCCCAAACGTTGCGTATTTATGCGCTTCAAGTATTGCGTCAGCTCTTTGTTATGTCGTCGAACGATCCACGAGCAGCGGTTATTGGTTTGTCGACGTTTTTCCGAGATCTCTCGCTGCAGTCGAAAGAGGCTTGTAAAGTGTTTTATGATGCACGTTTACTCCACGGTTCTTTTACAAGACACATCGTTGTCAACGACCGTCGAAATTAAATTTCAGATTAAAATCGAGGCCAGCCGTTGTTCCTAGCACCGAACGGATCCAAGTTGCCGGATTCATGAAATTTCATAAGGCCGCCAGGGTTTTATTCCAACTTACCCATAAAATTATGTTAATTTTGAACTAGTAAATTTCGATGACAATGAGATTACCGATGTCGCGAATCGTTCCCCAGGGCTCTGGTATGGGCTAATGGTAGATTTGGCGCTGAATCGACTTTGACCAACTTTTTAAACGACTGATTTACTTGATTACAGATCAAAAGCTGGAAAGATGATTCGTGACTATCTGATGCTGCTCTCGTGGCTATGCGCGGTGCAAGGAAAAATAGGTAAATGTATGCATACGTATATAGACGACTGTGTTTGCTACCGTACCGCGGAGATCCAACCTCGATTCTACGTAACGCGCGTCTGAATTGTACGCGTTATTTCTCGTTGCATACAACCATGTTGCCGACTGGCTGAATTATTAAAACGAGTGAAACTTTCCACGTCGAATATGGGTCGGCGTTCTTTGAACGCGATCGAGACAGAATTTATTCGACAGTCGTACATTAACGTCCTCCCCCTTGTTACGGTTAATTATGGATGAAGTTAACAAGCTGACGTAACGTACGACCACTAACGAAAATGTTATAACAAAGTTATCGAGTTCACGAAAATTCCTTGACCCAATTTACGTGAAATTTCCTTTCCTTTATCTTCCCTAAGGTATTCTGTTTCAACTAAGGTTACTTTGAATGCCGATATAAGTATGATTACTTGCAAAGTATTTCAATTTCCAAAGTTTCTCATTGGCAGTATTTTACTCGTGAAACAAAAATTTTCGTTGGATCATTCAAATGAAAAATTACATTTGAAATGGAATTCATTTCTTTACAATGTATAGTCATTTTGTACTTGCTATTAAACCTATAAATACGATTTGAAATAATTAACAGCAACTTTAACACCTGGATATAACGCCGCGTTATTACTTCGTATTAGAAGCTTTTTAATGGCCTACGCAGAACGATTTATACTCATTTTTCTTTTAAACGGTTGAAAAACATCTTTCAGGACAGAATTAAATGGTGTTAAATTTCTGCACTCTGTTTATGTACATATTTTTATGCAATTGTGCGGCTACAAACATAATAGTACAGTGCATAGTGGATAGACAAAGATATTATTGAAACTGAAATGCAAAAATAAATATTTTATTATCGATCGTAAAAATATAGCTCCGAAGTCTTGTTAATAATCACGTTAGAACTGGAATAGAATATATAAATTTAAAACAGAAGATAGAATACAGAAGATAGATTTTGATCGGAATATAGATAGAACGAAGGTACGGATTTCTTTTGCAAACTGAACTGACTAGAAATTTTTCAACACGGTAGTTTAACAATCCTGTATGCAATTTATTTGTTACACCATCCTGTCCTGTTTACTCTTATGTGCAATATTATTTAAAAATTGTGTAGATATCGTTTTCGAAACGCACAGCGAAAGACCTATCCGACAGGAAAGTTTTGCACGATATTGTTACGTTTCGGTGCTTTAAAATTCTTGATCGATCCTAATTAAACGATCCTGGTCAAAATATTAATTCATCCTAATTTAAAACGCTCGAGATTCAACAACAACAGCCATCGGGATTGCGTGTGTTGGTTTGATAAATTCAATCTACCCGTTGAATCGATCGTCGAGTCTAATTACTTTGCAAACTAGCCGCACTTCGTGAGAAAACGGATTGCGCGACTAATTTAAAACAATCCGTCTTATGTTCGGCGATTCGATTCGTCTCGATTTGATTCGTCGCGCTGGAAAATACGAATCCGTTTACCGATGAGGATCGAATTCGTTCGAAACCGTGCTTCGCGTTTTCGAAGGCATCAACTTCGCAGTTTTGCATCCTTGTCTCGTCGTGACGTTACGTTGATTCGCGGAAACGGTAGGGGAGAAACGATGAATGAAAATGCAACGGAACGAGATGCAAATAGCAGCTGAAACGCAGAAGGCGCGACGACCTCGTTCTCTCTGCTTCTAGGGTATTTCTGGCACATCACTGACATCCACTATGATCCGAGGTACTCCACCCAAGCAAACGCGGCAAACGGTAAGTAACTTCGTTTTATTTTGTACGTACGTTATATGTCTTTGGCTTCTCCTTATCGTTGTCGCGAGACAGCGATTCTTTATGCATCTGTGCGAAATTCAGAGATGCAAAGATACACACAATCGATATAATATACAAATATACATACACCTACCGACAAAACTTAACAAACATCATGATCGCTTGGATCGATAAAATAGTAAACAGAGATAACAGTCCCTACACGAAATTATAATACGTTTTTTTTTCGATTACGCTACTGTAATACATGTATATGAAACAAGTAGATGTATATAACATGAAAATATAATAAAGAAACTTTATGTTTCATATTAACCTATGTTTTGGCTTCGAAATCTTGCCCTTCGTTTTCAATCTCATTCGCTTCGGCAATCGATTCGATATTATTTATATCTTTCGCATAAAATTTCGTAAAAGAGCAGTCGTTCCATCATAATTGGCATTGAAAAGATTAAATATCACAGACTGTTAATCTATAAAAAATAACACCGACTGTTAATCAAATCCGAAGAAACGAAATCTTTTTTCCCCAAGCTCTGTCGCAAAATATTCGATAAAATTTTTCCCTTCGGAGATTTAACCTTTGCACAGTGCGCCCCTAAAGTTTAGTCAAACATTTCAGGAACAGAATATATTCAGCTTTCACCCCTTGCTACCCGTGCCTATATTTTCCTCCTGTTCCCGTCGCTATTTACCGATCGTTTTAAAGTACCTGGCGTGTTTGGTTGGCACGAGGTTTGCATGAAATAACGCTACCTGAAATTGCGTCCCATACCAAGCACGAGCTGGGGCCGACTCCGTGTCATTTGGACGTTAGCGTGGCAATACACGAGCGTCCGCTGCGCTGCTCCCTTAATACGAGCACTATGTTCCCACGTGTTCGTTTCCTCATTTCTGTTTTTCTTTGTCTTTTTTTTTTTGTCTTCTTGTTTCCTCTTCAGCTTAGCCAGGTCCCTGCTTTCAGCGTGCTGGAACACGAAGAACGGTGTGAACAGCGGTCGGAAAACCCCCGGAGAATTCGGTGACTACGGCTGCGATTCGCCCTGGGCCCTGGTAGAATCAGCAGCGATGGCAATGACATCCAATCGCGGCGAAGGAATCAAGTTCGTTCTTTGGACGGGGTAAGTTTACAAATTTGTACTACGAATGACTATGAATAGTATTGACATGCCATCGTATTTACATTTATTGTATTTACATACTAATTAAATAGGTACAAGTACATTAAATTTTCTATCGCTCAATAACAGATACTTATCGTATGACTACAAAGGTTTAATAAGGATATATCGATATATGGTATAGAATATATGTCGATATTGCAAGGGTATGTGCTAATATCTTTTACAGCTATTACACGCATATCTCTTATCGTCGAAGAACTTTCGACGTTTCTCGTACAAACAACTGAACGAACGAGAAAAGGAGTAACGAAATTATATAGTATTTTTTTGAAATGAAAAGCTTCCGAAATGCTGATAACCGACTTAAATTTCCTCAGTTTGTGGTTCGAAATATCGCGTTTCTCGATGGACAGATTAAATTCGGTGTCTGACTTGTTGAAAAATTAGCTTATACAGCTCGAATCTCGACACTGTCAGAACTTTCATTCTACAACTTCGTTCGCGGTTCAAGTCAAAAGTTATATAGAGTTGGGTTGACAATCAAAAATACTACGCTAACGCTGCTCACTTTAGTATTCTTATTATTAGCGATATGATGTAGGATTTGCGGAATGCTCAACCGATTAATCGGCGTATCGCTATCATCGGAGCAACAAGCTTAACGCGACAATTCGATTTTCATGGAGTAAAAAATGAATAAAAACGAATGCCCAGATAATGTGACGTGAAATTCTAATTACCGGGTAACTACGAAAATAATAAACGACGAATATTCAATGTGTCAACAACGGACGGAAATAGAAATCGGGGATGAAATTAACGAGCATTCGATTGGATGACGAATCGGTATCGCATGAATGTTCTGATGGCTATTAGTAAATTGGCCGATGAATCAACGAAAACTGATTAGCCTTTAACACGCAGTTTCGTAAACTAATCTGATAATTGATAATTCGCAAACTGGAGGAACAAGAATGTAGTGGACTATAAAGATTTGTGTTTGTTGGACGCAACACAGTGGCTGCGTGCTCCGTATAAATTAAACCGTACAATCGCTAGTTTAATAGAGTTTGATCGATTTATTTACATACAACCGAATTGCGAATGTTAATGCACTTATGAATAAATTATCGAACAAATTGATAATTCCCTTCTGATTTGCGAAATCTAATGAACATTCATTAGTATCGATATAAGTTTATTATCCCAGCCAATTGCACTTGTAATTTCTTTAGCTTATTATCGGAAAGAAATTATAGAAGCGGGAGTTGTGTTTAATTACACTTTCTCACGGTTTCTCTCTTGATGGTTACGCTTTAATTTTCTTCCATTGAAATTTTAAATCGTGTGTATCTATAATACGATTTGAAATAATACAATTCCTGGAATATTATTTTATTTGCTTTGAGCAGATGTTACACAATTTGTAAAAACCTAACAATTCCATTAATTCTTAAGTATTTCTACGCAGGTACAGATATATATGCACATATAGTGTTTGAGCTGTAATCCTATTGTAAAACAAACTTATACGCATAGTACTGTGCAACCACATTATCCAGCATGCATAACATGCACGAAAGTTCAGCAGTTCCATGTGTATACATGTATGCGTTATACTTCTAACCAATTATCAGGTAACTAAGAAAGTTTGTTTCTCTCGCAATAGGGAAGATAGAGAAGTAAATACGGAGAAAACACATTTTATTCGTTAGGATAGTTACTCTCACATTCATTTAACTTTCTTTTTTACGGAAAAAGAGTTTATAAACCGGTTGTAAACTCTTCTAAAAACGATTTAGAATGAAAACAACTTCTCCAATGTTGATTCTACGATTTCCCAATTTCTAAATTGTCGATGCTGAAGAACATTGCTTTATCTCTCTTAAGTTTTGTTTCTGTTTTTTTCGGGGGGGGGGGGGGTTTTTTTTTT